AATGCTGAAAGAAACCTCGACTCTATCTATCTATGAAGTCTCTACTATAAAAATATGAGTGTCGAGACAAGACCTACGACACCTCAAAACTACTAATTAGAAAGTAAATGGGAAGTCCTCCGAAATACAAGGAAGCTTACCAAATCTAACTGAAATGTCAAACGATCTCAACGAAGCTCCTGTTGATGATCCTGAACACCTGTATTTGTATCATTATAAGATGCAGATCGAATGACATCAGTACAATGAATGTACGAGCATGCAAGGAGAACTAAAAGCATAGATAATTGAACTGACAAGACTAAGAGAAATACTCACCTCAACTCAACTTCAATAAAAAAGCAATAACAAGAGATGCAATGTTTAAAGCGTTATAAAACAGAAGATATAAATTCAATGATGTATACAAATACAATAAAATACTCTTTACTCTTATTTGAGAGATTCGCTAATCGACAATCATCACTATGAGCTATGTGATGATACAACGTCTCGCTCATGTTGTCATAACTGTCCTATACCTTACCAAGGTATATAACACCTCAACTAAGTGGATCCAATAAGCTCTGCCCGAAGGCACTAAGGATTCATCTAAGAAGTATGATCCCTTACCCATGTTGGCTACATGGTTTATGAGGAATGTGAGTTGTCTGAACTCATCCCCATATCGGTGCTCAATGCTACTCCCAATAAATATATACTCATGCTCAAATGTATAAAACATACTCTTTGGGATAATTGCTCAAACTATCCTCTTAAAAGAGGTAACAACTCTGAAGTATCTTTGAACTCATAAACTATTTTTTGAAATCAAAGTTTCTCTTTTCTCAATGTAAAAATGATACATTTGAGAATACTTAGTTTCCTTAAACTTTACTCAAAATGTCTCTTCAACTTTCCTCAAAAACTCAGTTTAAAACACAAGTATTGACTTTAAAAGACTCTCAAGATTTGTAACTCAAAATAGGGTTCATGCTGAAATAAAAACATGAACGAAGCAACTCAAGGGTCTCAATAACGATATAGACAACTCAATACTTAGAACTCAAGGACTCAACGATACTACTCATCTCAATGACTCTCAATTCATAGGGTTCATGCTGAAATATAGACAATAACGAATCAACTCAATTTAAGCTCTTAAACTTTTCTCTTAAACTCACTTTAGTTTTGAATGTAAATTAAGACATGTGATTAGGACATGTAGGAACTCTCAAGGGTGAATGAGACCTTTAGGAGCTAATACAAAGAAGGGGAACATAGCCACAACTTAAAGGAACATGCACCGGATGTAACAAGGAAAAATTGGCCAGCGACTCCTGACGTACTACTGGTGCGTCGCCCCATCACTCCTGGCATAATGCTGGCGGGCCACGCCAGGCCCCAAAGTACTGGGGCTGGATTTGAGCGTACTGCTGGCGCGTCGCCCCAGCAGTCCTTGCGTACTACTGACGCGCCGCCTCTGCCCTTCCCAGTGACTTCGATGATTTTTTTGGTAAAATTCAAGCTTCAAACTAGTTTAGAATTGAGAAATTTCTCATAAAGCCTTCTTGTTACTCAAACCCAACACGGTTACATGAGAATTTCATACAATCGTTTTAAGAAACACAACTCATACTAAAGATCCTCAACCCAAGAAACTCAATACCTCCATTGTTAAAGAATAAAACTAAAATTAAGAATTATTCAAGAATATTTTAGATACAACAATTTCATGGATGAGTTAGATGTATGGCGTGAGGACGAACAAGTCCAACATTGTGAGAAGCCTTACATACCTAGAAAGAACAATGTTCTTTGCAAAAATTGACAGGATCTTGATAAACTCTCAAAACCTAGCTCTTTCTCCTCTTGAACTCTTCTTTTATTTTTCTAAGTGTTTAGGAACGACAAAGAGTGGTTTAGCATCTGATTAGACCCTTAATTGGGTGTGGAAAAACCTGCTAGGCCTAGTGGGAAAATAAAAAGACAAAAACACCCTTTTATAAAATGAATGAGATGCCTTAACTAGAGAGGCTTCACTCAAACATGCATAACTTCTTACTTCAAGCTCGAAATTAAGCAAACTTGGCGGCGTTGGAAAGAGGACTCAAATACTTTCAATTTTTGTAGGTCATGGGCCACCTAACTCTTTATGTGCTAAAATATATGGTCATTTGATGTTTATCCAAGTAAAATCTCATAGTGAAACTCAATCGGTAAGAAAGCTTTCAACTCAACTTTAGGCTAGGAGATTCTAGTGACCTTAACACATAAGAAAATTTAGAATCACTCGATACAATTTTATTCACAATGAAGAATGGTTCGAGTTTTAACTTAAATTTTTTTGGGATGTTACAATATCTCCCCCTTGGGATCATTCATCCCCGAATGACGGTTGGACTGAGAATGGAATTGGTTCCTCTTACTGTGTTTCTGACTTCTGAACTTGCCTACTAACATAGGCGAAACTGATTTATCTAAGAGTTTGGAACTCTTTTTGGCACATCAGTCAAGAACGATATGAGTTTGAACATAGCCAAGCTCTATTTGAAGTTATTTTACATGAGACAAAGGAAATCTGGGCATGAAGTAAGAATAAGACTGTTACGCCTTAAGCAATACAATTGCTAGATTTCAAGCCTAGCAACACCTCTAAACCATGCCCTCTTTTAGGAATACCACACCTCATATGCTGCAACTCATAACTCCCACAAGGGTTTATGACTACTCTTACCACAGTTTAATTTAAATTTTCTGCTCTTAATATGTTTAAGCCTGATCTCTATATCACTAGATGCTAAACATGAGATTCAAGTTCTATACTTCTATAGGAAATCTCATCCCAAGAATACTACAACTTACCACTACATTCAGCTAACCTTGAGCTCATATCAAGAAACACCTGATGTATAACGCATTTGTCCATATGCTAACACTTAACTTGGTTTCTCATCTTATCATCTCCCCCTTAGGTCTAACGCTGACATTTGAAAGCTATGGATCTATTCCATCATCTCTAAACTGGTCTACATTCCCTTTACTCTAATACTCGGGAAAGACTTATCTCATGGCTACTGAACTCTCCATAAACAGGTACTAAAACTCCTTCTAAGACCTCTTTCTAGGGTCCTTCTCGTAACTTCTTTCGGCTTCTATAAAAGACTTTCTATAACTATTACTCACATTGACTTATAAAGTCGCTTAATCTAACTCTTAAGGGAAAATTAATGCTTACATCACCCTATTCCATATTGACAGCTCAAATATATATTATCTAGGCACACATGAAAAATCATAAACTTAATTGGAACCTCATCTGACTACAGATGATCTCAGGTACATCACTTAATGCTCTTGCTAATCTAGTGACTTAGCCACACTCCCTTGCTCTGATCTAAGAGTCATAATACCACACTTGTACCACTCACATTTATCAAAAAGTAACACCTTAATTTCTCACCTATTTTATGTCAAACCTATTAGATCAAATCTCGAACTAACATCATCACCCACATGTTGCCATCCTTTTTTATCACGACACTCACCTCAAATTCAAGCTTTGTGTCTATTACTAAACACATATATAAATATAATTTCTCGCTTACTACACTAACTTACAACTACTAGATAAGATTAAGAAACACTCACCCACTAAGATCTCATGATAAATAATCAATCTTTATCTCTCAGTCTACATACTTACATATTACTGTCACAGTTCCTTTCACAACTTAAGTACTATTTACCCATTCACTATACATCATTGCCTAATTAGTTCTATAACCCTCTGAATATCACAGGCTCTCCTTTAAAAATCATAAACCTAGCTTAGGTCTATGACCTCATGAATACTCTTCTTTTCTATTCAATACATATACTTGGTCTTTACTAACACAATGACACATCGACATAAACTCCCTTCTGGTTAAAGTATACTCTAACTCATCCATACTAGTAACTCCTACTCTACCTTCTATCATGAAATCTACACAAACTCATCACTTCTTAGTATACCCGTAAGGAAAAACTCCCGATTAATAACTTATTGAGTGCATGACTACAACAACATAATTTTCCTCATCACTATTTCCCTTTTTTAGATTACTATACCTCTGCAAACATTCTTCTAACTTTGGACACTTTTACTACTACTGCTTATAACACATAACTCATACTATCTTTTCGGGTGAAAATACCCAAGCTCTAAAATATACTCCCCTCTTAAAAGGTTTCAACTGAAACAAGACTTAAAGAAGAGAGTCTGTAATACATCCCACTTTTAGCTCGAACGCACGATTCATATGAATAGGTGTGCATTTCTTCGAATCTTAACACTTAAGCTCACTCACGGGCTTCTCACAAGACCCTCTATAGTCTCATGACTTTCTCAATACTTTTCCTGGGAGGAAATCATCGATAAGGATCTGGGTTTTTCTTTTCAACTACATTGAGTATAAGGGGTAGTCGAATGGATTTGAGAAACACACGAGTTTGAATAAGTTCCTTATGACATAGTTCTATTGCACGATTTAGAGTATGAAAGAAGGGGAAATTTTCTTAAATGTCTGTAGTCCCTCATTTATATGAGTGGGGACCTCACAACCATAAACAAAATCCTACATGTCACGACCCAGACCGTCGTGATTGGCACCCACACTAACCCTCTGGTGGAAGAACCATTACTACAACCCAAACTAAACAACTTAACCAAAAACTATGCAATTAACGATACGTAAGCAGATTTAAATGCATAAATTATATAGAGTTCCCATAAACTCCAAAGGTTTAAATAAACTAACCAAACTAATGTTGAAGTCTTAACCCTTAGAACCTGAAAGTCATTGTACCAAAACTCTACTAACGACAAGTCTAAGAACAAGGGGTACAACCCCAAAAATAAAAGAACGCCCTAAGAAATAGTCTGAGTCCGAAAAGAGTGGACTTAAACAGGAAAAATTCATGGCAGTTCGAAAGAAATGGCTCACCCTTGAATCCGGTAACGCTCAATAGTCACCTAGCTGAGGTCTATCAATAGCCACCTGAAGATGCCCTATACTCAACAAAGAACAAGCAAGTGCAGCATCAGTACACAACCACAATGTACTAGTAGGATCACACGACTATTCCAGTAAGCACAACATATATCAGAATAACAACAAGGTAAAACACGCATATACATAATATATATAAATCAGTTATCTTTTCAAGATCAATGTACAATTCTACATTCTCAATAACAAGTATATATGACAAGTCAATGGTCATCTCATGGAACCCAATTCAATGGTCCTCTCATGGAACCCATACCCAAACTGTTAGTGTACCAGTTTGTGGTACCCGATCCAATGTTTATGCCGGAATGTGGCAACCGATCCCATATTTATGTCGAAACGTGACAACCGATCCCATTTTTATGCCGGAACGTGGCAACCGATACAACGTTTATGCCGATACATTGCAACCGATCCCAGTTAGTGTGTCGGAACATGACACCCGCTCCATTCAACAAACCACAATCACAATGTATATTCTCACAATCATACAAGAAGAGGTGATTCATGGCATGCAATACATTAGGTGTGATCAATAGGCTTCATTCACATACATGCATGAAATACAATGAAACAATTACTAACATACATCACGCAAAATATGAAATCACAACCATCACCTACCTCAAATCCAAGCTTGAATCCCCTAAGGCACTTGAATCTTCCCTTTTTGGATTCTTCCCGCTTGTCCGTGGTCTAAAAACATACAATTAGCGCAATGATCAATAAACGAGGCCTAATTATCCGGATTATAATCAACAACATCAACCCTAGGCCAAACCCTTGATCCCCATATCCAGGTTAGTGTTTATTCCACCATAAATCATAGATCAAAACCCTCCCTCATCGATAATTATCCAGAAAACTAAGTTCTACGGATCGAAAAGTGGATTCGGGGAGTGAAAACCTTGCCTTTAGCCTCAAGAATGGTGGAAAATTGTCAAGAAAACATCTGGGGTCGTTCCTTAGCTCTCAAAGTCAAAACCTGCAGAATAAAATATTTTTGGGGTTTATTTTTAACTTATGTCGCGACTGTCCAGCAACAGGGTTCCTCATCCCGCTACAGCGGCCCCGCCCTGGCGGCACAAAATCTCGCCATAGCAACTTGCGCGGAACATATAGCTAAATAAAGAATTTCCAAACCCCCATTTCATAACACACCTTCATCCCATGACACTCATAAACTACCCTCTCATGCTAAGATCAATTTCGGGAGTTCTACTCGCCCGAATTCAATTCCGTAAAGTCGTACGGGTTCCTTTACATCTTAGCTATCTCCTCATGTGATCAAAATCATAAATCGATCACCCAATTGTTACCAGATTTCCCTAGTCCTTACTGACTCCGATTTCGTCCAAATCTGGACTAGGTTGGAAAATTCCAATTTACTACGAAAAAGTTTTTTGGCCCAAAATGTTCCCTGTTGACTTTTCTATAACAGGGGGAACATGTCGTTACCCAAACGACTTCATAGACACCCTAGGACACTTGAACTCTATGCTCTGATACCAAGTTTGTCACGATCCGAGCTTACGACCTGGACGTGGAAGACACTCGAGAATCATTTCTGGTCCCCAAGCAAACCTTCATCCTGGCTGACTACAAGCGGAAACCAATCTCAAGCAATAATAGACTTAAAAGTAGAATGAAATTCATTAAACTCAAATATTCAACTCATAAAGTCTGAAAAATAATCAATATCAATACTTATAGTTTATAAAATAACTCAAAAGAAAGTAAATGCTGAAAGACACCTTGACTCTGTCTATCTATGAAGACTTTACTATAAAAGAATGAGTATTGCTAATTGGAAAGTAAATGGGAAGTCCTCCGGAATACAAGAAGGCTCACCAAAGCTAACTGGAATGTCAAACGATCTCAACGAAGGGTCTGTTGATGATCCTGAACACCTTTATCTGCATCATTATAAGATGCAGGTTGAATGGCATCAGTACATTGAATGTACGAGCATGCAAGGAGAACTGAAATCATAGATAACTGAACTGACAAAACTAAGAGAAATACTCACCTCAACTCAACTCCAATACAAAAGCAATAACAAGAGATGCAATGCTTAAACTATTATAAAACAAAAGATATAATCTCAATGATGTATAAAAATACACTAAAATACTCTTTACTCTTATTTGAGAGATTCGCTAATCGACAACCATCACTATGAGCTATGTGATGATACAACGTCTAGCCCAAACTGTCATAATGTACTATAACTTTTTGGGGTATAGAACACTTCAACTAAGTGGATTCACTAAGCTCTTCCCGAAGGCACTAATGATTCATCTAAAAAGTATGATCCTTTACCCATGTTGGCTATATGGTTTAAGATGAATGTGATTTGTCTGAACTCATCCCCATATCGGTGCTCAATACTACTCCAATAAATATATACTCATGCTCAAATGTATAAAACATACTCTTTCTCTGGTTTGAGATAATTGCTCAAACTATCCTCTTAAAAAAGGTAACTACTCTGAAGTATCTTTGAGCTTATATACTCCTTTTAGAAATCAAAGTTTCTCTTTTCTCAATGTAAAAATGATACATTTGGTAATACTTAGTTCCCTTAAACTTTACTCAAAATGTCTGTTTAACTTTCCTCAAAAACTCAGTTTAAAATACAAAGTATTGACTTTAAAAGACTCTCAAGATTTGTAACTCAAAATAGGGTTCATAATGAAATATAAACATGAACGAAGCAACTCAAGGATCTCATTGACAATATAGAAATCTCAATACTCAGAACTCAAGGATTCAACGATACTACTCATCTCAAGGACACTCAATTCATAGGGTTCATGCTGAAATATAGACATGAACGAATCAACTCAATAAAAGCTCTTGAACTTTTCTCTTAAACTCACTTTAGTTTTGAATGTAAATTAAGACGTGTGATTAGGACATGTAGGAACTCTCAAGGGTGAATGGAGCCTTTAGGAGATAACACAAAGAATGGAAACATAGACACAACTTAAAGGAACATGCGCCGGATGAAACAAGGAAAAATTGGCCCAGCGACTCTTGGTGTACTGCTGGCGCGTCGCCCCAGCCCTTCCCAAGCGACTTCGACAAATTTTCTTGGTAAAATTCAAGCTTCAAACTAGTTTAGAATTGAAAATTTTCTCCTAAATTCTTCTTGTTTCTCAAACCCAACATGGTTACATGAGAGCTTCATACAATACTTTTAATAAACACAACTCATACTAAAGGTTCCCAACCCAAGAAACTCAAAACCTCCATTGTTAAAGAATGAAACTAAAATCAAGAACTACTCAAGAATCTTTTAGATACAATAATTTCATAGATGTATTAGATGTATGGTGTAAGAACGAACAAGTCCAATACTGTGAGAAGCCTTACATACCTGGAAAGAACAATGTTCTTGGAGAAAATTGTCGGGATCTTAACGAACGCTCAAAACCTAGCTCTTTCTCCTCTTTAACTCTTCTCTTATTTTTCTAAGTATTTAGGAACGACAAAGAGTGGTTTAGCATCTAATTAGACCCTTAATGGGTGAGGTCTAGGCCTAGTGGGAAAAGGAAAAGACCAAAATACCTTTTTCTAAACCGAATGAGATGCCTTAACTAGAGAGGCTTCACTCAAATGGACATAACTTTTTACTCCGAATTAAGCAAACTTGGCGGCGTTGGAAAGAGGACTCAAGTAACTTAAATTTGGTAGGTCATGAGCCACCTAACTCTTTATGTGCTTAAAGATATGGTCGTTTGAAGTTGACCAAAGTAAAATTTTATAGTGAAACTCAATCGGTAAGGGAGCTTTGAACTCAACTTTAGGCTAGGGGATTCTAGTGACCTTAACACCTAAGAAAATTTAGAATCACTCGGTACAATCTTATTCACAATGAAGATTGTTCGAGTCGTAACTTAAAATTTTTGGGATGCTACAAATTTGATGTTAGAATATTGTTAATTATTCACGATTAGAGTTCGAGATTTTTTTAGAAAAACTTGAGTTACATCGGAGGAACAAACCTCAGTGTTAAAGATGGAGGAGATGAGAGAATATGAGTTAAAATAAGCCTTAAGTTGTCTAAGATGAGTTCCCTAGTGAACCCCTGACTTGAATGAATAAATATTGTAACTTAGACAATGGAAAAATATCCGGGCAAGACGCGCTCATGCTACAAGGCACGCGTCGCACAAGTCCAATCTGGTTGGCCTTAGTAAAATACAAAAATATGTATAACGCTTTACTCAGAAGTCAGATTGACAAACACGTTGTTGTGTTGGAAATTACACTAAACTACTTTTAATTTGATAGGTTACGAGCCACATAATTATTCATATTCTAGGAGATATTCTTGTTTGAAGTTGGCTCATAAATGAACTTACACGAAAACTTAATCATTAGGGAAGCTCTCAACTCAACTTTGTGCTAGAGCTTCCTAATTATGATTTTAACTCATATCCAATACACTTCTCAAACTTAGAAATTAACTTTTACACCTAAAAATATAAAATCACCCATGCATTCTCTCAAGATACATGGGAGACAATAAAGGAATATCTAGGATGTGTTTAGTGTGAAGGAAAATGTTTTTATGACAATATTTTCCTGGAAAACAAGTGGATTTCTGACTTATTTTCTCATGTTTGGTTGGTGAGTAAAAAATATTTATATTTTTCAAAAAATATTTTTTAGTGTTTGGTTTATGATTGAAAAACATTTTAAAGAAAATTATTTTTAATTTTTATTGGAGAGTAGAAAATATTTTTTGATCGGAAACCAATCTCGATAATCGATTTAGGACGACCCCGACACATGAACAAGAACACAACCCCGACGATAGATCTAAAATCCGACCAGGACTTGACCCCAATTTTTGATTCGAGACCCGACATTTGAATTGAGATCGGATATCCGACCCAGGACCTGACCCTGACACTCAAAATTGAACACGATCCATCAATCCGGATTTCGACTTCGATACTCGAATCGAGACACTACTTCCAAATCTGGATCCGACCCCGACAACCAACAATCAATGCGAGACCTAAGATTTGACTTTCAAATCGAAATGTCGACCCCAACTTTCGAATCAGTATCCAATCACACCCAACTCGGGACCTAACTTTCAAACTGAGATTTAAACTTTTTTTAAAAAAACAAAATTTTAAATTTCTTTTTTGTGTGTGTGTCGGGGGAAATATTTTTTAAAAACATACTTGATTTTTTTTGTGGGGGCTGGGGGGTAGGGTAAAATAATAAAATTTTAAATTGAAAATATTTTTTAAAAACAAACTTTAAACTTTTATTTTTTTGGGGGGGGGGGTGTCGTGCCATAATTTTCCTATTTTTGGAAAAATCATTTTTTGAAATGTTCCAAGTATAAAACAATTTGATAAAAATACTTAGAAAAGAGTCGTCACTTAATTTTTTAAAGAAATTAAGAAAACTTATAATTTTCAAAGATTTAAACAGAAAAAATCATTTGAAAATATCAAAGAGGGTTCGGGGTTCAATTTACACTTCGAGAAGGATTTAAACATTCGAAGTGCCCGCTAACATGCGGTTGACCTGCGACTTGACTAAAATATATTTGACAATTTTTAGGAAAATAATTTAACATAAAAATAATACTTTATAATATGTGATTAACTTGAAGAACATAATTAAATAAATGACACATTTTATATTATTTTATTTTTTAGAGAAAGGGATCCAAAATGGAACATTTGACTCGAAATACAAGTGATTAGAATTTTGATAAAACTAGATTAATTAAAATTTACTTGACTCATTTTTAAAAAATAATGATTTAAACTCAATTGGTAAATTTAAGCATGAAAACCATTTTTTATTAATTGAAGAAACAAAGTTTCGACTAACTTTTTTGAGAAAATGACCGAGTATGTATTTTTTTATATTTTTTTTAATTGATTGAAAAAAAAAATGACTTACATTTTCCAAGTTTATTTGAGGAAAAACACTTAAACATAAAACATTTTAAAATGAGTAAAAACGTGATTTGAGTGAAAAGTGTTAAATAACAAATCTTTTTAAGAACAACGATTTAACTTAATTAAAGATATAAAAATTGATTGGTATTTGATTAGTAAAATAAATGACCACAACACAAAAGAATATTTAAAACAAACCAACACTAAGAAAATAACTCATCTTTTGGGGGGATCTAATTAAGTTAATTAAAATAAATTATAGTTAGAGTTAAATAAAATTAGTCAAGCATAAGCAAATCAATTAAAAGAGTAAAGGATACCAAGAAATTAGACCCCTTTTTGGGCCAATTTCGCTGCAAATTTTGAGCTAATCCAATTCCCATTTTTGCGTATACACTGAACATATATCAGTGTATATGAGCGTATGTATCAGCTCTTTTCATGTATCTCTTGCTTCCGAACACCTGTATTTCGCCTCACCCCTGTATTTTCATATTTTTTGACCTGTATATCGCTGCATAATGAGTGTATACAGTTGTATACAACTTGTATACAACCCCTTTTTAGGCTTGTGGGACTTTGAGAATTCAATATCCCGCCTTGTGAGTCAACTTTTAATTCTTGGAATGATGAGGTCGACTCGATAATATTAGGCCTTTGGCCCAACGAGATGATGCAAAGCATAGATGGAGCCGATTGGATTCGTTGAAGGAGTTCATGCAATAAAAGAAACAAAAGGAATTAATTAAAAAAAAACACACAAAGGGTAATCGATGAATTTCTCAAAGTAAAATAAAATAAAATTTCATAACTATATTGGGCTACTGGTGAACATTCAGATTAATAGAACAATGGGAGACACACAAAACAGAACATTACTATATACCCAAATAATTGGAGGAAACAAGATTTAGCATTTGATTAAAATTAACTCACATTTTTGTAACAATAATTAACCAGCAACCCTTTTTCTTAAAAATTCCAAACCAAAGTCATGAAAATCCTAACAACCAATGACTTGAAACATACATTTTTTCTCACTTTGAAGAACAGAAAAAAAAACATATGGTCTTAAAGACATGAAATCTAAACGAAGCAGGGTGATGCGTTATCATAAGAGAACAGGTTCTCAATCAAATTAACAACGTGCAAAACGAAGACCTTCAACAACTGAAAATAATCATCACTCAAGTTACGACAAAAAGGATTTGAAAATATTTGAA